CCTTTCCCCACCGATCCCTGCAATCCATGCCTTGCCAGCTACTGCTCCCCTACATCTCAGTGACAGTGAGCCACCTTCGCCTGTTATGCTCATTTGGATCCTGCCCTTACTCAGTGCTGCTCAGGAACCCCTGTGGTCTCCACTCCTGAAGCCAATGTTACTAAATCTCATACATGTTTTCTTCCACCTGTAGCGGGACCTCATTCTCTGAAGTGAGAGCTCCCCCTGTTGAGGAATTTAGATCAAATCTTTCAGGACTTGTGAAGACTTGGTCTTTAGGTTGCAAAGAAATCCAACTCAAACTACCTTATTATTTTAAAAAATTACGAATAAAGTAGGTAATAAATGCCACCCCAAAATATGCCTCTCCGATATATTGGCAATTTTGAGTTAAAAGCACATGGAAGATCACTCTGAGAAGATCACTCTGAAAAGCAGGAGATACAATTCCTATGGCAAAGACGTCCTCCCTATGTCAGAAGGAAAGTATCTTTTGTACCATCAAGGAAATATGAACCAAGAAACATTACTAAACTGGTCCTTATCTTTCTAGTCACTTGCCTATCTAATTAACTACTCTATCCCACGCCTCCTGTCATATTTTCATAATTACTACTCTTCATCCAATTAGGCAAATAAGTATTCAATTCCACCTGAATGTCTGGGTCTTCATTTCCTAATGAAGTATCCCATGCCACACAAAACTTGTATTAAATAAATTTGTATGCTTTTCTCCTGTTGATCTGTATTAGGTCAATTTAATTTTCAGGCCCATCTGAAAAAACCTGTGAGGGTAGAGGTAAAATTTTTCCTCTTATATAATGGCAAGAATAGTGGAAGAGATGGCCTCAGTCCCAATAGCTCCAAGTCATTTGGCTTCTCTTTTTCTCCATTTTCTGCTTTTGTTTACTCAAGCTATTACCTCTGTGCATTCTAACTTTTCCACTGGCAGACATCCTCTGTGTCTAAAACATATCCCTAGATTTCCAGAACTGACAAAGAGCTTCTTAGTTGATAGATAAAATACCACAGGAGGATTCTGTTTGGTTCTAATTGAGTCACTTGCTCATCCTTGTACCAAACACTGTGGCCAGAGTGACTGGTAACCCCAGGAAGGCCCCCAAAAGGAGGGAAGATCAGATCTAAGAAAAAGAATGCCAGGCAGACAAAAACTATAGATGTCTCTTACAATTGTGTATTGATAAAAACCAGGGCTCCTATAAGAAGACAACTAACCTTAATTAAAAATGGGTAAAGGACTTGAACAGACATTTCTCTAAAGAAATACACAGATAATCAATAAACATACTGAAGAGGTTAATGTAACTCCATTTGGGAATGAAAAGGTTAATGTAACTCCATCTGGGAACTAACTCCCCATGCCTCTCCTGGGCAAGGTCACCCAGGTGGAATCAGTCTATCAGAAGGAGACTGGCTCCCTCCCCCACACTTCTGGGCAGCCAATCTGAAGGGGACCAGCTCCCACCTCCCTACATACTTCTGGGCAAGGTTAGTCAGCTCAGAGGGAGCCAGTCTATCAGAAAGAGACAAGCAGCCCCCCTCTAGAAAATCCCTAACCATAAACAGCTCAGCCAATAGCAACCCCACCAGACAAAACACCTGATGACATTTCTCTATACTCCACTTGAGGCCCTTCAGGGTTGCCCTTCCCCCAGCTGTACTATAGGGTGGAGCGACCCAGGCATATGCGTGCAAATAAAGCACTTAATTGTTTTTACATGTGTGTGGTGGTCTCTCAGCGGCAATTCTGGTCCCAACAAAAATATGCTTAATATCAGGTGATACTGGAATTTCATCTTCAGTAGGTTCTTAGTCTCAGTGATTTGAGGAATAAATCCGCAGACCACAGATCAGTGGTAAGACAGGATTTATTTACAGAAAAGAATATAAAAACACCAAAGCTCCCGGCAGTGAGAGAAAACTCAAGTCTAGAGAGAAAAGCTCTCTGTCTGTCTGTCTGTCTCACACCAGGCTCTTTCTCTCTAGGGGTATATATAGCCACATGAGGCCCTCTGTAATTAGATTTAGCGTGTCTGGGACAGCCTGTGTGGGAGGTGTCTGGGACATGAATGAATGGCTATAATCCCTTTCTTGCCCAGGCTACGAAACTCACATGAAATTGACCAGGCCTAGGAAATGGGGGGAGGGGATGGGATGGGGGGTGTCCCTGTTCAGCCTTAAGTGCAAGGGGAGGGAAATGTAAGGTGCTAGGGTCTCCCCTGCAGTTGTCTGGCCCCTCAGGCACACCTGCCTACCTCCAGCCCACTGGTTCCTCTGCTCATTGCCACTGATACCAGATTTTTAACACTGGATTTCCAGGCTCTTGGTCTCAACGATTCGATGAATGAATCAATAGACCATAGAATAAACAGTGAGGTTTTATTTACAGGTCAAAGAACCAAACCTCCTTGCAGGGCAGGATACAAGTGTTACAACTCTTATGAAAAGAACTCTTACAAAGAGCCAAGCCTCTTTGTAGAGCAGGATAGATGTGCTACAACTCTTACAAAGGGCCAAGCCTCTTTGCAGGGCAGGATCAGCAGCAGAGGTGTTACAGCTACAGCTCTTAGAAAGGACCAAGCCTCTTTGCAGGGCAGAGATCAGCAAAGGACCAAGCCTCTTTGTAAGGCAGGATCAGCAGCGGAAGTGTTCCAACTCCTACAAAGAGCCAAGCCTCTTTGTAGAGCAGGATCAGCACTAGAAGTGCCGCAGCTCTCGCTTCTTCCTCTGGATGGTCTGGGATGGTCTGCTGAAGTCTTGTGCTTCTGCTCTATCTTCCTTGAAGGTCTGCGACGATCTGCCCCCAGGTTCTCTGCTCAGGGCCTTATATAGGTGTAATAGCTTAGCTATCCTTTCAATCCTAGGAGCAGGATTGAAAATGGACCAATCAGGGATGGGCACCAGTTTTCCCTTGATTGACAGGTCCTCTAACACAGCTCTACTGGAGCCTCTGGGGGAAGAAAGCTCCCTCGCTTGCCCCAACCTGCCGGTTTTTTTGCCAGCTGCTGCCACCAAGACAGAAGTGGCAGATCCCCCTGGCCCTGCTGGGCTGAGCTGGCTGGGGTGCCACTTTTCTGGTATCACCACTGCACCAACACCACCAAGGAGGAGGCAGCTGGTCCCCCCACCCCCACCCCTAGCTCCACCGAAATGGCTGGGAGCCACTTGTCCTATACCATCAGGGAAATGCAAATCAAACCCACAATGAGGTACCATTTCACATCTACTAAGATTTGGTTTTAATTTTCTGAATAGCATAGTTTTATTGCATAGCATTCCTGTAATGAAAGGTATTAAACTTTTAAATGTAAACATTTAATCTATTTTATTTTTGTACCACCTTTGTGCCTGTCTTCTTTTTCATTATACGAGACCCCTAAAACAGATAATAAGTGTTATCAAGGATATGGAGAAATCAGAACTTTGCAGAGTTAAGAGTGTAAAATGGAGCAGGAAAAGAGTCTGGGAGTTCCTCAAATCAAGATAGAGTTACCATAAATATAGCCACTAACCATGGGTGATGGGTTGCAGTGGTGTGCAGGTCACTGCACCCTCAATTTCCTGGGGTCAAGCTCCTCCTGCCTTAGCCTTCACAGTGCTAGGATTACAGGAGTGGCTCCACTCAGATTTCTTCTGGGGGCTGGGAAAAAGAAGTTCTCGAATATATTGTGGTGTCGGTTGCCTAACTCTGTGGACATACTAAAAACCACTGGATGAACACTTCAAATGGGTAAATTATGTGGCATGTGTAAATTATGCAAACCTAATAAATGGCCTGCGTGTCCTTTAAGGCCTCTGGGAGATGGAGCGTGCTCCAGCTGAAGTTAGACAAATGAGATCAGATCCAATCCTGTTTGTTACCTATAACTCTGTCTTCACAAACATGGAAATGATAATCCCTGGATAGGTTGTCGTGATTTTTTTTTTTTTTTTTGAGACATCATCTCACTATGTCACCCTCTGTAGAGCGCTACTGCGTCACAGCTCACAGCAATCTCAAACTCTCTTGGGCTTAAGCGATTCTCCTGCCTCAGCCTCCCAAGTAGCTGGGACTACAGGCACCCACCACAACCCCCGGCTACTTTTTGACTGTAGTTGTCATTGCTGTTTGGCAGGCTCTTCAGTGTACGTGGCTGGTGCCCTAGCCGCTCGAGCTACAGGCACCAAGCCGGTTGTCATGATTTTTAAAAATACATATTAGGGTTTAGAATGTACATTGTGTGACACGCCGTAGACGCTTTGAGACACTACGCACACAGCAACGCACATGAGTCTGTATGCTCGCGAACTGGGAGCCTCTGGGGAGGTTCGGAAGGCTCGGATCTGGAGAACTGGTTCTGTTCCTGGTGTCGGCCCTCCTCCCCCTGTCTCCCAAGCTCTAAGATAGTGATGTAGCAGGGCGACCCGCTATCCCTGAAGTCAAAGAAAAATGCCCAGGAGAACAAGGAGCCAACGTCAAGGCCTGGCGAGGCCGCCATACCGGGGGCGGAGGCCTTGCTCCCTAATCTGCAGGGGGACCCGTTGCGGCGGACTAGAAGCCCAACGGCTCCCAGCAACCGTTGACCGTAACCGTTCACCGCAACCGCTCTCCGCAGCGACCGTCACCTACAACACGCGCCCATCCCGGCGCGCGGAGCCGCGCCCAGGGGCGGGCCGGGAAGTGTAGTGTGCGCAGCTCTGGCCACGCCGCCGCCGCTGGTCGGCCTGGAGCCGCGCGAAACTACAAATCCCATCAGGCCGCGCGAGGCCCTGCTTTTCAGTCTGTTGCGGGGAATGGAGAGCTGCGGGGTGCCAGGCGGGCTGGACCCGGTCCCCATTACTGGCGGCTGCACTTTCCAGAATAGGAGCTTCCTGAGCTAAACACTCGGGCTTTCCTGTGGCCAGGTGTGCGGAGCCGGGGACTTGTAGTTGTGGGAGCCCCCGGCGCCCGCGCTGCCCGGGCGCAGAGAGGTCGCTGACTTGGATCTGGGCTGCAGCCTGGAGGCGGTGCCGGGTCTGCGGACGGTGTGCGGGTGAGTTCGGGGCCAAAGGCTCTTGCAGTTTGGGGCCAGCCGGGGTGCACTCTTGACCCTGGGAAGGCCTTTGGCTTAGATTTGGGGTGGGAGGATCGAGCCTTCCTGCAACCTCCGAGAGAAGTCCCGGGACGCTGATGCACAATTTCTGCGAGTTGGCGTAAGGAACAAGACAGCTGCATCAAAGGCTAGTTCTATTTTTAAAAAGAAAAGCTCAGGGTAACAGTGACTTGTACTTGCCATTGACAGGTTCTTTTACAGTGGAGGAACCTGAATGAGGCTAGGGAAGACTTAATTGGTGGAGTGTTAAAACCTTGATTAACTATGGCGTGTGTGTGGGGGAGGGGTAGGCAGAGTCTGGGGTGTCGTCCTGGGTAAAGTGCCATGGACTCTTGGGCTCAAGAGATCCTCTTGCCTCAGCCTCTCGAGTAGCTGGGACTACAGGTGCCCGCCACCATGCTCCGCTAGTTTTAGAGACTGGGTCTCGTGCTTGCTCAGGCTGGTCTGGAACTCCTGAGCGCAAGCAGTCCACCTCCCTCGGCCTCCCAGAGTGCTAGGATTACAGGCGTGAGCCACTGCAACTGTGGCTTTCTTTGTGGACCTCTTGGGTACGGAATTACTGAGAATTTCCCCCAAAAGTGCCTTCTTTGGATTGAAAATATAAAGATAACTTTTTATGGTCGCTTTTCCTATTTAACAATCCTGGCTATTTTCATTAGCCACATGTCCATGCTTGTTATTATAAAATATCAGCACAGAAATCATTGTCTTGAGTTCTAGCCTCTCCTCTGTACTCTGTACCTGCTGGGTTTTATCTGACTAAATTATTCCATGATGTATTTAGAACACAATGCTGACTCGCTCTGGACAAGATACATGGTCGACCTTAAAGTATTGCTTTCCCTTTTTGTTTTAGCCTTGATAAACTGAAATGCTTTGAGGAAGGTGAGGACCCAAAAGTCATCCTGGAGGATACTGACCTGGTGAGTTTGGGGTATGGAGGTCTGTGCATTAATTTAAACATTTTTTTGACATTTTTTTTTGAAAAGTTGAAAGCTTGCTCACCTATAATCTTAGCACTCTGGGAGGCTGAGGCTGGTAGATTGTCTGAGCTCAGGAGTTCAAGACCAGCCTGAGCAAGAGAGATCTTGTCTCTAAAAGCAGTCAGACATTCTGGCAGGTACCTATAGTCCCAGCTACTCAGGAGGCTAAGGTAAGAGGATTGCTTGAGCCCAGGAGACAGGTTGCTGTGACCTATAACACCATGGCACTGTACCCAGGGCCACAAAATAAATAAATAAATAAAAAGAAAGAAAATTTGAGGGTGGCACCCATAGCTCAGTGGGTAGGACACCAACCACATACACAGAGGCTGGTGGGTTTGAACTTGGCCCTGCCAGCCAAAACAACAACCACCATAACCAAAAATAGCCTGGCATCATGGTGGCTTCCTGTAGTCCCAGTTACTTGGGATGCTGAGGCAAGAGAATCACTTAAGTCCAACAGTTTGAGGATGCTGTGAGCTGTGATGTCATTGCACTCTACTGAGGGCAACATAGTAAGACTCTGTCTCAAGAAAATAATAATAAAGTTGAAGTATAGTATCATTATCCACATACCTACTCCTTACATTCAACAACTGTTAACATTTGGCTGTATTTGCTTTAGCTGTATGAGTATGGGTTGCCTGATGTATGTCTTTTTCATTTGTTTATACCATTCAATAAGTTGAGACATCATGATAATTTACCCCTAAGTATATCAGCATAGAGTTCCTACATATCTACAAAATATCATTCTCCAACATAATTAGTATGGTACTAATAAACCTAAGAAAGTTAACAATAAATAATCTCTAATATTCATTTTATATTCAAATTTGTGTTTATTTTTGGATATATGTTTACAAAGATAAAGGTAATCTACTTAAATTTGGGGTGCAACTTAAATGCTTTAGTAGTGTTTCTTTAACAATCTGTGGTAAAGGACCAGTTCTTAACATTTTTAATCTTTGACAGATTCATATTTTTGTAAAAAACTGTAAAAGAGAATTACTAAAGAAATGAAATTTTAAAACACAAGGAGTTTAAATATTTTATTATTAAATTCAACAGATATAAAATTATTATCAACTTATAATGAAAGTATCTAAACACTTTCTTTTTTTTTGAGACAGTCTCACTACCTTACCCTCGGTAGGGTGCTATGGCATTATAGCTCACAGCAACCTCCAACTCTTGGGCTCAAGTGATTCTTTGGTTTTAGCCGCCTGAGTTGCTGGGACTACAGGCACCAGCCACAACACCTGGCTATTTTTAGAGACAGGGTCTCACTCTTGCTCAGGCTGATCTTGAACTCCTGAGCTCAAGGAATCGGCTCATCGTGGTCTCCCAAAGTGCTGGAATTACAGACATGAGCCACCGCCCTTGGCCTTAACCATACTTACTTTCATTTTCTGTGCAGATTGGGTAAGGTATAGCTCACAGATCAATTCCCATCTGCTTACCAGACTTTGAGAAGCACTGCTCCATGATGCTGCTATAGAAAGATTATGCAGGTTATATTTCACTATATTTTGTACCATCTCACCTGTGTTGTCATTTTTTATTTTTAACTTAATTTTTATTAAATCATAACTATATACATTTATAGGGTACAATGTGATTGATACCGGATTTTTAACACTGGATTTCCAGGCTCTTGGTCTCAACGATTCGATGAATGAAATTGATAGACCATAGAACAAACAGTGAGGTTTTATTTACAGGTCAAAGAACCAAACCTTCTTGCAGGGCAGGATACGAGTGTTACAACTCTTATGAAAAGAACTCTTACAAAGGGCCAAGCCTCTCTGTAGAGCAGGATCAGCAGCGGAGGTGTTACAGCTACAGCTCAAGTGTTACAACTCCTACAAAGAGCCAAGCCTCTTTGTAGGGCAGGATCAGCAGCGGAAGTGTTACAGCTACAGCTCTTACAAAGGACCAAGCCTCTTTGTAAGGCAGGATCAGCAGCGGAGGTGTTACAGCTACAGCTCTTACAAAGGACCAAGCCTCTTTGCAGGGCAGAGATCAG